TTGGCGAACAGCAACTGCACTGACATCAGTTGCCTATCCTTACGTCGCCCTTCCAAGGAATCTCAATAAGGCGCCGCGTATCAGTTGGTATCAGAGCCTAGGCTCGACATCGGACGAGGGAACGTATTGACATACCACCATTTCTGACCATGGTGAATCATGGGGACCGCATTGCGGCCCTCGAAGGGACGGTTGAGGTATGGCGGCCCATTATGGAAACGGTGCCTGAACTAAGAACCAGCCTACTGCAAAGGTTGGACGACCTGGACCGCAGGGTGCTTCAGGTCGAAGTTGACGTTGAAAACATCAGTCGCGACTCCGAGGGAGACCGGCAGACGGCAGCCACAGAGGCATATGAAATCTTTGACAAATTCGAGGGGCTCCAACAGGAGCGCACCGAGGATTTAGCCCACAGGGCACAAGAGGCAGAAAAGGTGACTGCCATGCAACAAACCATTGACAAATTTACAGACCAACTCAATGTTATCAACTCTGCTTTACAGGGCCTACTCCGAGGAGGTGGAAACCAAATCGGAGGTGCTGTGAACTCCGCTTTCGCGACAAAGAAGCTGAAAATTCCTGAGCCAAAGCCATACAGTGGAGCTAGGAATGCCAAGGAAGTGGAAAACTTCATCTTTGACGTCGAACTGTATTTCGATGTTGTTGGGGATCTGGAGGAAGCTAAGAAGGTAGCAACTGCTGCCATGTATCTTCAGGGTGATGCTAAACTCTGGTGGCGTGTGAAGTACGAAGCCATCAAGGCCGGTGAAGATGCTCTCGAGACATGGGCCGAACTGAAGGCAGCTATACGCCTGTAGTTCTTCCACGAGAATGTTGAATATAATGCAAGGAGAAAACTACGGGAGCTCCGCCAAACAAAATCAATGCGGGACTACGTGCGAGAATTCTCCGCACTCATGCTCAGCATACGCGACATGGGGGATAAGGACAAACTCTTCACCTTCATGGAAGGGTTGAAACCTTATGCCCGCGTGGAGCTACAGAGACAAAGGGTAGATTCCCTTCCCAAGGCAATCCAAGCAGCTGAATGCCTTGGGGACTATCAAATGGAAGCTCGAAGGGACAGGCCTCAGCCGCCTGCGCAGGGTTCAAAGGGGGCCAGTCCAGCAGTGGTGGTCCTAGCAAAAATGGGGGAGATCGGAACTCAAACAAATCTAGAGCTCCTTCCTCCGGCAGCAACAGTGCTGCGCCAAACAACAATGATTGGGCGAGAAAGCCTCCTTCAGGATGCCGTCATTGCGGCGGTCCACATTGGAACAATGAGTGCCCACATGCACAGATGAATGCCCATCAGGCTATTGATCATGGGACTGATGACGACTCAGACGATGCGGACCAGACTGAACTAGTAGGTGCCTTCAATGCAATTGTGGGTTCCATTTCTGAGGCACTAGCGGAGACCAGTGCTGGTATTCGTAAGAAGAAGGACTCATGTCCCGTCTCCAGGAAAAGGAAAAAGAAGGCGAATGAAGAGACTCCTCTTAAACAAGAGAGGACCTTAATGTTCGTCGAGATGAAGGTGAATGGCAAGCCCATTCGGGCTATGATAGACACGGGTGCTACCCACAACTACTTAGCCTCAACTCAGGTGGAGCGCCTTGGACTAGTTGTAGGGAAAGGTAAAGGTAGCGTCAAGGCTATCAACTCACCTCCCCAGCCAGTGGGTGGAATAGCTAAAGAAGTACCGGTGAAGCTTGGGCCTTACGAAGGAAAATTCAACCTGCGAGTGGTGATCATAGATGACTTCGAGTTGATTGTTGGGCTAGAATTCCTAAGGCAAACCAACACCATGCCTGTACCATTTGCAGACATGCTACTGATGATGGGTACCAATAGGGCCAAGCCCTGCATTATCCCGTGCCTGCCCATGAAGATGGCCGTTGAGAACATCTCGGCCTTGCAGTTGAAGAAGGGGGTCAAAAGGAATGAACCTACGTTCCTGGCAACCCTCTGCATTGAAGATATAGAACGCTCCTCGGGTCCCATTCCTGAACCCGTGAAGGAGTTACTACTGGAGTTTGAAGATGTCATGCCACAAGACATGCCAAAGCGGCTCCCGCCTAGGCGCACTGTGGACCATGAAATTGAGTTGGTGCCGGGCGCGAAGCCACCTGCCCGGGCTCCTTACAGAATGTCACAACCCGAACTCACCGAGCTTCGGAGACAATTGACGGAAATGCTAGATACAGGGATCATTGTACCCTCCAAGTCCCCATATGGGTCCCCTGTTCTATTCCAAAAGAAACATGATGGCAACCTGCGACTCTGTGTGGATTATCGAGCTCTAAACAAAATCACCGTGAAGAACAAGTACCCTATTCCCCTAATGGCNGTAATTAAAACAAGAAACGTCTGTATAATAGATAAACCAATCTCTGTGGGTTCGACATCTTTCTATACTATAATTTGACAGAGTACGAGTTTAATTTATACACACGCCAGACATTCGTCAGATGGCGAAGGCATTTAGCCTGAGTCCCAGTTCGAGCAAGGTCGAACGGTACTATTTCGATGGCAAAGGCACAGCCTGAGTCTCAGTTCGAGCGAGGTCGAACGGTACTATTTCGATGGGGAAGGCACTTAGCCTGAGTCCCAGTTCGAGCGAGGTCGAACTGTACTGTCGATGGCGAAGGCATTTAGCCTGAGTCCCAGTTCGAGCGAGGTCAGACTGTACTGTTGATGGCGAAGGCATTTAGCCTGAGTCCCAGTTCGAGCGAGGTCGAACGGTACTATTTCGATGGCGAAGGCACTTAGCCTGAGTCCCAGTTCGAGCGAGGTCGAACGGTACTATTTCGATGGCGAAGGCATTTAGCCTGAGTCCCAGCTCGAGCGAGGTCGAACTGTACTATCGATGGCGAAGGCATTTAGCCTGAGTCCCAGTTCGAGCGAGGTCGAACTGTAGTGTCGATGGCGAAGGCACTGCCTGAGTCCCACTTCGAGCGAGGTCGAACTGCACTGTTGATGGCGAAGGCACTTAGCCTGAGTCCCAGTTCGAGCGAGGTCAAACTGTACTGTTGATGGCGAAGGCATTTAGCCTGAGTCCCAGTTCGAGCGAGGTCGAACTGTACTGTCGATGGCGAAGGCATTTAGCCTGAATCCCAGTTCGAGCGAGGTCGAACTGTACTGTCGATGGCGAAGGCATTTAGCCTGAGTCCCACTTCGAGCGAGGTCGAACTGCACTGTTGATGGCAAAGGCACTTAGCCTGAGTCCCAGTTCGAGCGAGGTCGAACTGTACTGTCGATGGCGAAGGCATTTAGCCTGAGCCAGTTCGAGCGAGGTCAAACAGTACTGTCGATGGCGAAGGCATTTAGCCTGAATCCTAGTTCGAGCGAGGTCGAACTGCACTGTTGATGGCGAAGGCATTTAGCCTGAGTCCCAGTTCGAGCGAGGTCGAACGGTACTGTTTTGGTGGCGAAGGCGCTTAGCCTGAGTCCCAGTTCGAGCGAGGTCGAACTGTACTGTCGATGGCGAAGGCATTTAGCCTGAGTCCAAGTTCGAGCGAGGTCGGACTATACTGTTTTGGTGGTGAAGGTGCTTAGCCTGAGTCCCAGTTCGAGCGAGGTCGGACTGCACTGTTGATGGCGAAGGCATTTAGCCTGAGTCCCAGTTCGAGCGAGGTCGAATTGTACCGTTGATGGCGAAGGCACTTAGCCTGAGTCCCAGTTCGAGCGAGGTCGAATTGTACCATTGATGGCGAAGGCACTTAGCTTGAGTCCCAGTTCGAGCGAGGTCGAACTGTACTGTCGATGGCGAAGGCGTTTAGCCTGAGTCCTAGTTGGAGCGAGGTCGAACTGTACTGTCGATGGCGAAGGCGTTTAGCCTGAGTCCCAGTTCGAGCGAGGTCGAACTGCACTGTTGATGGCGAAGGCATTTAGCCTGCATCACATGTGTTCGCGTTACGCTCATCTGCTTGATCATGACATTCAAATTGTCCCAGGTTCATTTTCGATTTCTCGTTTGCGGCGCTTTTGCGCTGGTTTCTGGCCTGACGCGATGGGGAAGATGAGTGGGAGTTATAGCGAGGGACGACTTCTCCATCTTCTCTGTTTGGCGCGTTTCAGTCGATTCTGGTTTGAATCGAGCTATCCTCTTGATGCTTTTCCTTTGATTCGTGAAGAACTAAGAGTTCTCGCTATGAAATCCCCACAAACGGCGCCAAATTGTTTGACTTAAAATGTTGCGCCGAACAATATTTAAGCAAATCAATCAAATGTATAAAAAGGGGTAAATCATAGCCAACCATAATTTATACCGAATTAAGAACTGAAGCAATAGGATAGCAGACGTAATAGAGATGACATTCAAGAGACTTTATTGATCATGAAAATTGGCCCTGCCTCTCCTTAGAGAGGTTCAGGGAATAGTAATCCATTTTCTATCCTCCAGATCGATCCTGCCTTTTTTGGGAGAGGTTCAGGGAACCCGTTTATCTCTCCTCTTCCGGGGCTTCTTCTTCTTTGGAGAAGGGATATTCTTTTCCTTTCTTGAGAAGGAGAGAGAGAGAGATGGAGAGAGAATGCCCCAAAATATATGGAGAGCCCCCCACTTAAAATAACTCTTTTCTTCCCTATTTATAGTTGGGGCCTCACGCCCATTGGGCCTTCTTTTGGTCGACCAGGTAGAGGGGGCGACCTCAACGCTTGCTTCGTATTTGATGCGGATTGGGCAAGGTCAGGTTCACTGGTCATTGCTTTAGGGAGCGTACTTGAGACGGGGTCGATACCACGACGGTCGATTGGTTAGATTTCTGACCGATACAACTTTATAATTATTTCTTTTATTCTTTTTCTTCCGTGTCCCCTTTAGGCCATATCTAATTTTTTTTTTTTCGTTTAAGAAAAAAGGGGGTCAGCCAAATTTACGTGAACGAGAGGCTATTTTGTAATATTCTCAAAATTAGATGGCCATTTTTGTAAAACATGGCCAGCTGATTTAGGGTTTGCAACACTACATAATCCGCAATATAAATGCATCTCGTCACTTCATACAAACTCTTTTGGTCCATTCTTATCTTACCATTGTAGAGAAGCGGAAAACTCCATCTACTTGAAAAGATGGTTCAGAGACTTACATATCGAAAGCGGCACAGCTATGCCACCAAATCCAATCAACATAGGGTTGTCAAAACTCCTGGTATTGCTTCATACCATAATCTAGTTTGTTAATGTTTTTTCATTTTATTTCAATTTGCCTCAACACTATGCTTGTTGTCTGTAACAAGGCAGATCCAGTATTTTAATTCAGCGTGTAGAATTGTTATAAATATATAGTACTTGTCATGAAATTATAAACACTGTCTATGAAGTTTGAGCGGAAGTGAGTAGAGCGCCTAGTACTCTATACGTACATTTAACAGTGTTACTTGTTTGTTATAGAGTGGGTTGAATGTGCTCAGTGAAATGTGATGACTGATGTAGCATGATGTTTTCTTTTTTTGGGAAAACTAGGTGGAAAGCTAATTTACCAGAGCACAAAGAAGAGAGCTAGCGGCCCAAAATGTCCAGTTACTGGGAAGAGAATCCAAGGGGTTAGTTTCATTATTCCTTTTATGGTTTTATTTGTGATTCGTTTCCAAGTTCCACCATGCTGTGATCCAGGTTTCAGTTTCTCATGTCCGTGAGAATTGTGTTAGCCATGTCTTATTTGTGTCTGTTAACTTGTGAACTCAGAATGAAAGGTTTCAAGCCATATTATTGCGTTAAGGGAATGATTCATAGTAATGACGTGATACTAAATAAGCAAAAGTACTTGTTATCTGGCACCCCCATACTTTGGTTCAATGGCAAAGGTAGTACACATGGAATTTGTGGTAGGCTCACATCACTAGTTATAATTTGAATACGGATTGGTGAACCAAATCTATTATACACATGGTGAAATAGAGAAGGGGGGGGGGGGGGATCATACACCAAGTTTTGAAGCTTGAAACATCAATGTCGTGGTATAACAGGGAAAAGGAAAAACTACTCGTTCTGTGGAAGAACCAAAAACTAATTGGAATTACCCATAAGTACTTTCGAAGAAAAATCCAAAAGTACTCGAGTGGGATAGCTAGCAATCCCGAAGGCTAAGCATTAATTTTTTTCTCTGTTTCTCCTTTCGATCTTGGTTAATAGACGAAGTGAAAGATGCATAAATGAAGTAGAGCTGAATATGGTCTATAATTGTTTTAGAAGAATTGTCCATGGACAAGATAAGATTTGCTTTTTTTCCCCTGATAAAACACATAGTTCCAAGTCTTTGGAGTTTAGTTTGCTGCATAGGCAAACGTTTCTTGCCCCCTTTCTTTACATCTACTCACTTGTCTTTAAAATTTATGACATTTAGCGAACAAAAGAGTGGTGCTTGATATCTTCTGTTACAATGATGGAAGACTGCTAGGGAGTTATAGATTAAAAATTTCCTGTTCATAGTGGATGTACTGCTGGCCTACTCGGTGTATGGATAGTTTCTTCTTTTTTTGTGAGTTGTGACAAGAATATCTTAAGTTCTTATATATCAGATAATTTTAAAATTGTTTACATGTATCTGCATGAGCAATTAATAGAAAAGGTATGAAATCATAGACAAACTAGAATTATCATGCACGAAGCTAGAAAACCTAAACAAAAGGACTTGCAATCCTAAGCAAGAAATCTAGCTAAAAAAGGAAGTTATATGTGTTGGATGCTGGACATTTTGCTGATGGAAGGGCTGAAATTAAGAGATTAGAAATACCTGTTAAATCATCTTGTCCGGTTGTCCCTCCTCCATGATTAGGTGAAGTATGTTTGTGGGATTAGTGTCCTGGTTTTACTCTACTCCATCGGGGTACACACTACCCTCCCCAGGTGACTCACCTGGGGGATTTACTGGGTGGTTGTTGTTGTTGTCCTAGTTTTACTGCAGTCCGCTTACAATTACCAAAGATAGGCTAATTTTCCACATCTTTTTCTGTCTTGAGGCTAAAAAAGGGCATTTAAGCAGAAACGTATTTATTGACGAATTTCTTTCTGTCGTTTAGATTCCACACCTGAGACCTACTGAATACAAGAGATCCAGATTGTCCAGGAACCGCAGGACTGTGAATCGTGCTTATGGAGGTGTGCTGTCTGGAAGTGCTGTAAGGGAGAGGTATGCCTTTTTGTCAGTGGAAACTGCACATTTGCTTTTGAATATCTTTATACTGGGGTTTCTCTGGGCAAGTACTTAATCTATCAATGAATTTACCTATGTAGAATCATTCGCGCTTTCTTGGTTGAAGAACAAAAAATTGTGAAAAAGGTGTTGAAGATTCAGAAGGCAAAGGAAAAGCTTGCCTCAAAGAGCTGAAGATAAAGACACTGAAATCTCTTGCAATTCTATTATGTTTTCAGTTAACTTAGGCTGTGATGACGATTAAGATGTGTGAAAGAACATGTTGAAATGCTAGTACTCGATATCTAGTAGAATCTGAGGCTCTAGTATATGGTTTTGTAGACTCAGTTGTTGAAACTATTGCCACCTGACTGGAGAGGTTGTTTCCTCTTTCCAATTCAGTGATACTTTAATGCATGGTAACTTTTGAATTTACTTTAGGATTATAACTAACTTTATCCAGAAGGTCCTCTGTGCAGCAAGCCAAATTCGCAGAAATAAACTGCCCTCAGAGGGTCACTCTAATCGGTAAAACCCCTTTATTTTATCCTTCAACCATGTTAACGTACATATTAATAGTTGAGGGAAAGAAGACCTTTCTAATAATGACTTGGTTAACACCTATCTGAAAAACTATTATTACTATTTAAATGAAACGATGCGCGCTTGAGCTCTTCAAACCCTTGGAAAATGTTGGGAAGTGTAAGAGAAAATGAATGATCACTTTCAGTTACAATCAGCTGCAACCCTTATATCTGATATTGATGAGTTTGTAAGATTTGAAACATATACTGGAGCAAACACAAGGAAGTAGAGTACATCCAAACCCAAAGAGCAACGACCCAAGACCTGTTTGTGTTGAATTTTGGTGTTTAGAGGTACAACTTTTCCATGTTATTAATTGATGCATGGGGATATCAGTCATGTTTTATTCATGGAGTTTGTCCGGCTCCAAGTGACGTAAGACATTCAATTCTGGAATTTTTTATTTTGTGCCTCACACAACTAACACTAGTTATGTGAGGCCTCTTTCTTGTCTCACAACTGTGTGGGTCCTAGAATTTTGTGGACCCAGATGTGTAAGATATGGGTCCACAAATATGTGAGATAAAAAGAGGCCTCACATAACTGTCATGGGCGGCTTTCCAGCCATGCCCCATGACCCCTTGGGCGCGCCCCGTGGCGTCCTAGCGAACCTCCCAATGCCTAGCGCCACGGACGGCCCCGTGGTCTTGGCCGCGCCAAGTGACAAGCGCGCAGGTGCCTCTGTCGCCCCACCGATATCCCTCGCGAGCGCCAAGCCGCAGGCAGAAGCCAACGGCGCCGCAGGCAGAAGCCAACGGCGCCGCGCGCGCAGACCGTGATGCCAAAGACACTGCTGCTAACAACGGACCTGCTGCTGCCTTATAGAAAACTAAGTCATTTTCATTGTAAATATAGAGTAGTTTTATTTCATGTACTTCTATTATGTTTCTCTAGCTTAATCAAGTCTAGTCCTGTAACTTTGGATTATTTTTTTTAAGTACTATTAGGGGGGATCAAGCAATCAAAACTTTCTAGCAAGCAAGCAATTCTCTGTACTGGTGTCTCTCCCCCTCGACACCGCGTTGCTTTTCTGTAATAGCTTTCATTAATGCAATCAAGCTTTCTTTCATTCTGAATTCTCATTTCTGTTCTCTCAATTGCTCTTGATATTGGTTTTCCCGTACGGCACTGACAATCTCGTCTA